GTTTCATTTTTAATATCTTTTCCAATGATTGCTTTTGAGTTTCCCCATTTCCTTTATCTCTCATTTCCTGAAATTATATATGATTTATAAAAAATAATACATCAACAGTCACGGAGGATTGAGCCACGAAATAAGTGCATTTAGATCTTTTGTGACAAGTTATACCCAATAGACAGCCCGTTGCGTAATCTAGAAGTTGAGAAAAGTATAATGAGTTGTGAATTATTAGTGACGTTACAAGGTAGTTGTATATGAACCGCAAAGACAGGATTATTGGTGCACCACATACAGCACCTGATACAGTTCTATTTACATATACAGTCCATACCTATCAGCGCATGTTTTGCCGCCATTGTCTGTCTCAAAACAGTCAAACAGATCTTCTCCGAACCACATATGCAATTCTTGGTTTGCATTGACGGCCAGGGGAGAAGTCAAATTTTTGAACTGCAGCTCCATGTCATCAACGGAAACTCCCGGTGGGCCACAAAACAAGGTGTTATTCCCACACTCGGAATCAAATGAAAAGCCATCTGTTGGCAAAACAATGTTGATGAAGACTGAAAGAATATTCAAAGTATTCGCCGGTTTGCAGCCCCATCGTCACAAAACTTTTGACATGTTCTCCCATTGAGGCATGGCTGTGAATGACAACAGCCGTTGTGACAAGCTGACGAATGACTTCTACTCTGCCTTTAAAGCAAAAAAAAAAATAATGATGATAATACTAAAAAAAACAGCAATAAATGACAATGTTAGGCCATGTGACGTGTTTGCTTTGATATGATACATTTAGCTTCCTTTCAACATAATCCAATTACATAATTCATAACTCAGAAACGACACTTTAAATGTTCCTTTACAGCCTGCACCCGAACGATTTTCTCATCAACAAGGGTCTCGTCTCGTACTCAGAAGCGCGAGAGATGGGAACGAGTGTTAATAACAAGGAACGAAGAGGACGGTGGGAAGGTAGCTTCTTTTAATTCCCATCTCCCCCGGCGCAATGTGCTCAGACACGACTGGGATCGAGTCAGTATTCCTGCAGCTAAACACCAATCGTGACCGAGATTCATTTGCAGGATGACTCGTACGTATTGTTTGGTAATGGGAAAAGTTCATTTTACGAGCGCTGTGCCATTCGTATTTTAATTTTTGGCTATTTTTGTACAATGAAAGATCTCAGTCCAAATAATAAATGAAATCTAGCTATTTCTACAAATATATACAAATATCTAAGCAGTGTTTGTGATTGTGCATGCATGTTAATATCATCTTATTGGTAACATGGTCATTTTTATCCGTAAAAAATTGTGCACTTGAATTGTTTGACTCACCACAACATTATAATCAATGAGCAGATCATAGTATTGACTTCCTCGTTTGAGTTGCAAAGCATTCGCCTTCAGATACTTGTTTGCTTCATTCAGCTCACAGTTGTCCGGACTCACTCTTGTCTGATAATTAAACGAGATGCATCGACAGTTCAACCTACATTTCCTAAAACACTCCACTAACAATGATACTGTCGAAGTCTCAAACACAAAGCCAGAAAGCGAGTAATCTGTTTCCATGTTTGAACTTGTTGCAAAGTAATAGACACCGGGAAGAAAGTTTCTGGAGCAAGTCGACTGTGTGCGCGCCACGCACAATAAAATCCGTAAAATTATCAGAAAAAAAAATTCCAATGCGGTGAGCCCATTGATTTGTGATTTGAATGCAATAATCGCAAGAACAGTAGCTGTCACTTACCTTAGTAAAGGAAAACGTTCAAAAGAGCTAATGACGATTGGTCAAACTAACAGCTAAACTTACCGCGCACGAAAACCTCAGACGCAGGCTTTTTTTTATCAGAATTTCACCAAAATGGCTCTACTCAAAGGATGATCAACAGTTTTAGTCCACGGGAATAAGAAGGACGACGAGAAAGTATTGTCAGATGTTACAAAATAATCGACCAGCTCTAACCCAAAATTGCAATCCAATAATACAAATATTTACGATTATCAGTTATGTACACAGAATATTAGTAGAATTCTAGAACAATTCGTCAATGCTGTCATCTGCTATTTGTTGAATTTTGCCTTAAAGCTGTGGAGGTGGAACTCCGCACACTGTATCAAAAAATCTTATGGAATGAAATGACAAAACAATGGGATGTGTTAGGGCCGAGGATCGATCTGTAATCGGGAGTTAGTTGCTGACAACACATGCAAAGCATTATCTAAGATTCCAGTTATCATTGTGCACAACGAAGAGTTACATACACTTACCCTAAGATCGCTTAAACTATAGCTTTCCCCTTAGGGTTTTGTGTCTTCAGTTTAAAGCGAGGCTTATCAGCGTGTAATGCATTTACCCTGGTACGCGGGGCATCATGGCCTAACGCGCGCTGGATTTTGGGCAATGCCCGGTGCATTGCGTTCGCTGCCGGGTGCATTATCGTTACAACACAATAATGTTAGTGTAACTGGACGAAAGACCTCTACTTTTAGATACAAACTACACTTTTCGTTGGGGTTTTGCACAAGTTCTCTGTGAATTCTTTTTACGAACGGCTTCTTGCCCGCTTCCTCCCCCTACCCCCCCCATCCCTCCCTCCTATTTGAAATTTGACAGAATCACCGATTTCGTCGCTCTCCCGTATACTTTATTCAGTTTTTATCGCCGACCTTAACCCTCCAAGCCCTAACTTTAACCCCTGGTGAGAAGCATAGTGAAATTTAGCCGTTAGGGTGTAAAAATTGACAAACTTTAACTGTTAGTCGCGAAGAATGTTAACCGTAAACATTTTTCCTTATAACAATGTATCCTTTCGTGTCATTTTGGGTTAACCGTAGCCGTGAAATGGCCAAAAATTTTAATCTCAATCGCAAAAGTCATCACCCCATTGAGACCCTCTTGTAGGGGGGGATCAGGGCTATTTTGTTTTCGTGACCCAATAAAAATCTAAGATATATTGATATAATCAAAGAGCGGATGATGTCTATCCAAAAGCACAGCTGAAAAATTAAATACAGCAACTAGAAACACAGGGTACTTCATGTCAACTTCTGAAGGGTAATCCTGCAAGCTGAAGGATAGGAGTTCCATTACGTTAGTGTATAGCACGAAATACAGCAGGTAATGGGATATATATTATACACTGTTTCAAAATATGGTGACATGCAACGTAATAGTCATGGGTGGAGACCGCCCCATGTTGCATCTCCTGATCTCCGGAGCTGATGACGTCGACAGTAGTTTTTTAAAAGCATGACATCGCCTGAGGAGTTAAGTCGTGAACGTGTTCCAAGAGAGTGAAAAAACTAGTCGTCATTGTCATTCCAAGAAAATGTTCCTGATCCCTCTATTGTGGTATGACGTTCACTGGAAAGTGTAAAAACTTGTGAACTCAATGATTCCTTTGCTTCGCTGCTCTTGGACCCTTCCGTGACGTTTGAATCACGAGGCAGTCAAGGTCCTCCACCCAGCAGGATTGAACAGCCTGCCTGTTGATGTCGATCCAACATGTGCCAACCAGTTGCTTAGGGCTACATTTTCAATAAAGTTACTAGAATGTGGGGTCACACATTTTCAGGATAAGACGATTCTGATAAGTAGGTATTTAAGAATAAGTTGGAAAAATAAACAGAGAATGACGAAGCTGGGATAGCAAAAAGTAACATTTGCCTATTGGTGACTGAGAGGGGGTCTATAATATTGGTCACGTAAGAGTCTATGCAGGGGTGAGGTTAGGGTTGGAGTAAGGGCCGGTGTCACGCGTACTACATCACGCTCAGAAGCTGCCATAAGAAAAAAAACATTAAGTCGATGTGAAGGTGTTGAGAAATATTTCACACTATAACACGCTTAGGCTAATAATCTCGTGATTTGCGAGCGCTTGCAAGGAAACGTGAGTCAGCCATCACATTACATAACACTGCTCAAAGATTGAAAACGACGCGCATTTTCTTAGGAACCCAGACACTAAAATTTTTCTCCACACTTTGAAATATTGATTATATTAATTACTGCAGAGCAAATATCAAATGCTGTAAACAATTACTTCTTGGTACATAGGCCTTATTAACTTCGGATTGGCCATTACTCACCAGATAAAAGTAAATAACGTTTTGTCTTTTTGCAAAATAATGCGTAATGTCTACAGGACATTCATCACAAATATTACATATCGTTAGTACTCAGTTTCTTATCACCGGTTAAGTTCATTTGATCTGATTGAGTCTAAGTCACTTCCTTTTGATGATTATAATTATTACATATTGAGAAATTTTACCCATCACTTCCTCCCTACCCCTTCATACTCGTTGATGTTTAGCTTTTTTGACTTTGTGTGATCGTCATTGATTTAGCACAGTTTAGGCGTAACATTTCCTTTTCTTACACGCAACGAGATGATTTATCTATACGTGCAATCACTCCTCCAATATACAGCTATTTCAATTTACGTTGTCGGATCAAAGCTTCAAGGGTACGAGACAAGACCGAAAGGCGGTATGGGTAGATTAGAATTAATTTTAGGCTTTCGGGGTTGTAGGCTTGAGGCTTTGATCCGACAACGTAAATTGAAATAGCTGTATCTTGTAAACTCGAAAGGTGGTGTTCGACGCAACAACGCCAGTGAGCATGGACTGGACCCACAGTTTTTTTTTTAACTCGAAAGGTGGTGCACGACACTAAGTATGAACTGTGAGAAAGTAGTTTTTGTGGATGAAAATTCGTGTATTAAAGATGAAATCGATACGAAAGAGGTCGAGTAATTGCCGAGTAAATCCCGAGGTGTCGCCAGGTTACCCTGAAAGTTTCCGAAAAGTCACAGGCTTTTCTATTTCTTTTATTTCTCCGACGCCAACAGCTCAATCAACGGTGAGAATGCCCCACCAGATTGAAGACAATGGAACGGGAGGCGGGTCTCACGACCGTCACGCATTGTCATGTTACTATATTTAGAAATGATGTCTCATGTAATCCCTTGGGTAACATATATTTAGTCTTATTCACACACGTAGCGGAACAGACATCACTCATCTTGTGGCGTTGCCCTTCAGAAGTCGACATGAAGTACGCTGTGATTCTAGTTGCTGTATTTTTCAGCTGTGCTTTCGGCATAGACACCGTTCCTTCTTTGAATGTGACAAAATATCTTGGTCGCTGGTATCAGGTAAAGCTGTGTACTGTGATGTTCATGATTATGTAACCGCGTGTATTACTTGTGGACTACTTTGAGGGACGAAGTCTCTTTCAACGCAACGCTTTCCAACATTTTAACTGTGCGATAATGTATGTCAAAAACCTTTTGAGAATTTATTAGGCATAAGCGATGCCGTTTAAACCCATTTATTCGCACAGCACGACATGGCCGATACAAACTGAGTGAAGGTTACAAACTTGTCGAATACATGTGTATGACCCTATGCTCTGCATGAAAGCAAAATATCAACCTTACAATACTGCATGTTCCATACAATAGACATTGCGCACTAGTTTGCAAAAAGCTGTCGTTTGATATTTACTTTCGTCTGGGCCTGGTTGTTCAAAGCTTGGTTAAGATAACTCGGGGTTAGTGAGAAATCTAGTTTAAGATCTGAAAGCTTTAAAAGAAAATTCAATACAATTATTTTTGTCTACAACTTGATGACTGGATACCCTTCAAAGAAGAGAGAAAATTATTAGAGAAAGACTTTCAAACAAAGGGAAAAAGAAACCTAGACAAAATTTTAACCCTGGGTTAGCGCTAATCAGCCTTCGAACAGCTGGGCTCTGATGCGTAATGGCCGATAGGAAGTTAACAAGGCCTTTTTACAAAAAGGTAATTGATTACAGTATTTACTCGGCAACGATTAGTAAAATTCCATATACTTTGATCAAAGTTGGCGAAAAATTAAAGTATCTGTGTTCATCAGCAAATGCTCCTCGTTTTTCATCTTTTGAGCTGGTGGTCACGTTAAAGTGGATCGTAAATCTTTCATTCACGTTTTCTTTCCTGCGCATGCATATCACGCGATTATTCCCCTAGCGTGAAATAGTGTAAAAAATTTTTCATCAGCACCTTCCCTTTGATGTCATTTCCTTTGATGTCATTTCAATTTCATTTTCTTTATTTTTCTGTGCGAATAGGTATATGCCGACCCCGCAGTTATGGTTACTTCTGAGCGTAACCAAGTTTGCGTGACAGCGGATTGTAAGTGAACATTCGTACTTAAAAAGTTTGTCTGACATACCACTGGTTACCAAAGCCCAATTTAAAATTGTTCTTACCAAAATTATTTTCAGATTCACTCCGGAAAGATGAAAAAATAGGAGTTCTGAATAGAGGGAGACTCTGCAAACCGACAGGAAAGGAAAGCAGCATCACTGGGTATGCCTACATGACCAACCCCGACGAACCAGGAAAGCTAACACTGCATCTGGACGGTGTACCTATCCTCGGTTCATGTAAGTGTAAACGACGCTAAGCTATTACGTAAAGAAAAGGATGCAGCGTTTCCCTTGAACTTAACATACATGGTTAGTCTGAGGTGGGAGGGAACGATCCGAACTATCATGAACGAGAACGAACGAACGAGAGGGACTGGGACACACAACTGTGCAAAAAGCCGGTTGCAAAACATCGATGTCGCAATGTCTTTTATGCTTGGGTACTGTAGCCTGCGCTCCAGTCGCTAGCATACCGATGCGAGAAGGTAAAAACATAATAATAATAATTTAATGTATTTACTGACAAGCAAAAGCTAACGGATGCGTTTTCTTCTTAACAGATTGGGTGGTAAAACTAGGACCACCTACGTTTGGTGAAAAAGGTCTTTACCAGTACTCTGTGGTCACAGGTAGCAAGCAGATTATGTTGTTTGTGCTGACGAGAGACGTAGAAACATTCAAAAGCCAATATGATGAGGAAGTGAGAAGTTTTTTAAAGGAAAACGGCTTTACTCACTTCTACAACAAGCCTGTAGCCACATTACAGGACAAGAAATGTTTGTACGGAGCTGAAAAGCCTTCTCCGTATCAGACAGTGAAAGAATTTCTTCGAAATGAATAGACATTTCGGCCACAGTTGTAGTTTTAAAGATGAAAAGAAATATAGCAAATAAAAAATCAAAGATGTGATGTGATTTGATACACCTCAGTCTAAACCACAATTCAGAGGAGAGGTCAACGTTATAAAACTTGATCTCGATTTAAAATGTTAAGACTCGTAGCCATGAAACGTCAGAGTTATCATTTGAAAAGATTTGATACACTCTATTACAGCTATCATGAAAATTCCGCTTTTAAGTAACCGTTGAAAATGAAAAGAGGCATAGGCAAGAATGGTCACATGGATACCCCCAACCATTTACAATCATAGGACTAAGGTGCTATAAAAATCCCGGTTAGACAGTTAGTTGAAAGAGA